CGCCACTCACTCGACGCAGAAGTATAAACCAGGCTTTACTGCGGAGCAACACAAACAGTACACAGAAGTATAAATGCATGGCAACGCAAGGCATGCACCGTGGGTCATGGTAATCACTCGACGCAAAAAGATAAACCAGGCTTTTGCGTGGTCGCAGACCCCTCACCGTGGCCAATGCTGACAATCACCTCTCAAAAAATGTAACTACACGTTGCAAGCTCTGTGATTGGTTGGCTTTGTAGCAGTGATGAGTGTGGGCGGGACCGAGAGCCGTGCAAACCCTATGAAGCGAGTGTTTACAAATGTTGAGTCCCAAGAAGGAGCTCCAAATGGAAAGTTTTGTTTTGTTTTTACCCTATGATTAAAGTTGTTGCACGTCTGCTGGTTTCTGCCTCTGAATGCGCCGTAGGTCATGCCGATCACTCGACAGAGAAGTATAAACCAGGCTTAACGTTGCTCCAGCTGTCAGTTTTGACAACAAACAGAATTGATGAGCTGGAGGAGTCTGTTAGGTTGTAATAATTCTTCTAAAACCCCTCACATTACGAAAAGAGTAATGATTGCAGCTTCCGGTTCACTGGGACTTTAATAACATTCATGGAACTCTTTAATTTTTACAAAAGTTTTTTTTAGATGTCCGAAATACTCAAAGAAAAGAAAGGGAATTACTATGAAAACACCATTTAGTATCTTAATCTTTTAAGAGGGTACTAAAGCACTTGATTATGAATTTAAGTGTAGTGCCATATTTATTTATATAACTCTTTTACTATGTAGATTGCGTCTAAGCAGCTTATATGAAGAAAAGAGAATAAAAAACTATAATAATATATTAGATTGTGGAACATTGTGTTGGAAAAAAGGTATTTATTTTTATTACTTTTGCGTCTTTATTTTTATTAGAAAAATGTTTAGATTAACAACATATTAATCAATCTTTTTCTTTTGTATTATAGCACATATTGACCGATACACTTCCTCTTTTTATTGTGCTGCATACTTTTAGAGGAAATCGCAGAATAAGAATAAATTTAAGGTGGGGGCCCTTGTTCCAGATTGCTGTCTAGACATGTCAGAAGTTGTCATGATGCTTGCAGAAGTTGTGAAATATATTGAAGATGCACGTAATTGTTCAGTTCTGGTATGCAGAAAGGGGTTGCAGAAAGAGGAAGTATGTCTGGGGTACAAGAGCCAAAGGACTGCAGAATGACTGATAAGTGACGTTAAACCAAAACTTTACTTGTTAATGTTAGTTGTGTATTCATGCTGGAGTCAGGAAATGTATGTTAGTTGCGAAACTCTTGAATGTAATTCTTGTATTGCATTGGGGTAACGTAACCTAGAGCTCTGTCATCGAATTATACATTTGTACCTAATAAATTACTAATATTTTTGGCATTGAAAAAAAACCTCTCCAGACCTTTTCTTATTGAACACACTTGGAATTGGCTTGATATTCCAACAATTGCAACTTATCAGACAGGCAGGAGAGTTAAATTTAATTAAATTTAGTTCAAATTAATACTGATTCAGTTCAGTTTAATATAAATGTCACTGTTAAAGTTCAGTTTAATTCAGTTCAGTCTAACACAAATGTCTCTGTTGAAATATGATCCACTGAATAGCAGCTCCAATAACACCAATTAAGCAAGTCAACAATGGCAAGGTACCAAAATTCCAAAAATTGACAGAAGTGGAGAACAAACTTTTGGAAGATCCAGGCTCAGTCTATGAACTACTTATTTTATGGCACCAATGTTGCCTCGTGTTGGCCCATGTCTGGTTCTGTCTGGACCAAAAAGCTGCCCATAAACACAACACACCAAACAGACGAAAGCCTATTTCTACACCTGCGCCAGAGGATGTGTTTTTCTACACTGCAGGGGGCAGTGTCTGTTTTCTTGTTCAGAATAGCAAGACCAGAACTCAATTAGAGGTACGTGTGGAACACATCACACCAACTAAGCTTGACTAGATCTGAACGACAGACAGATGAAGCGCAATGGCCGATGGTGTCCCAGCCCTAAGATGTCAGAGGGTTTGAGAACTATGAGTATCTGTTGTGGTGAAAATACAGGTCCAAGTAGGTCACCGCTTCAGACTAGCCAATAGGATAAATGCAGATATTTGTCCCCCACTGGGCTCTTTGCAGAAATCAAGTCTTGTGCACTTTACTCATAGATGACCATGACAACTATCTGCCCTGGATACAGGCCAGATCTAATATTATGTGAACCTCAGGATCCAAAGAAACAAACTAACTGACATGGGTGTAGATGTCATTCATTCATGTCAATTTTGATATTTTAGGAATAATCAATTGTCTAGAATCAATTGAACATAGTTAGTGTGAGTTGCTGTAATAAAATGTATAATTTTAAAAAAGTTGTTTAATAGGAGTCAATGCAATCCTGACAGAACTGGACTAATATGATCACGTTTCTTAGACATAGAAAGCACAGCTGCTGCATTTTGATTTAGCTGAAGATTGTTTATTATCCTACAGGGCAAGAGATTATGAAAGCATTTATAGGCTTTTCTGCACTAGCCGTTGATAGCATATGTTGCACTTAGTTGAGTTATATTACTTAACTTATATTTTTAATGGGCATTATTGATTATTAAAAGTGATGTTCAGCAAAAGAGAGGGTATGTTTCCCATTTTAAATAATAATGAAAGGAGGGAGTAATGTTATTTCTGTTTTGTTATAAATATGCATACAGTGAAGATGACGCTCATATAAATATGTAGCTACATGACACCTCACCTTTCTGTTGTCTGTCAAGTTGCCCTTTCCTTATTCACCACTCGACACTCCCACCTAAGCAAAGCTGGAATCATACACTTTCCTGATTTTTTTTAAGTAGTGGTGTAAAAACTCCCTGCTGAGACAAGGGGGTTTCATGGTCCTTTAAAGCCCCGTTTACACTAGCGTGTTTTAGTTTTAAAACAGCATTTTAGAATGAAAACGATCCGCGTCCACACTATCGTTTCAACCAGCGTTTCTGAACTGCTCTCCGTCCACACCAATACGACTGAAACGCACATCACATGACCACACACACTCTCTGGCATGCGCTGCAGCCTATCTACCCAGATGAGAGCTGTGCTCGTTGGACTGCTCATCAAGCATCTCCCACTGGATCTAATCTCACTATATTTGTTAAACGTGATATTTCATTCATCTTGTTTTCTTTATCTAACGACATATTCCCCGACTTTGATCCTTTGAATCTATTACTTGTTCTCAGGTAACGTGTTTTGGCTGAGCGCAAAGATAGATTAATAATTAATATAACCACGTACATTCTGTATATTGACTGATCGCTTGCCTTTATTTCCTATAACGTATAAACTTATTGTATGTTATACTTTTATAATGGCCATTATCGATTATTGAAACTGATATTCAGCAAAAGAGAGGGTATGTTTCGTATTTTCACTGAAAATGAAAGGAGGCAGTTGCTATAGGCTCCGTTTTGTTATATCCACACAGTGAAGATGTTGCTTATATATGTAGCACAATGCCTCAACATTTCTGCTGTCTGTTAAGTTGCTAACATCAAAATAAACAGCAGCGTTTTAGAATTTAACGGCCTATTCAGCGTTTCCAAAACTCTCCAATTTCGGCGCTCGAAAACTCCGGCGTAGTGTGGACGGATGGCATAACTGTAGCAAAACGTATGCGTTTTAAAACGAAAACGCATTAGTGTAAACGGGGCCTAAGTCAAAAACACTTATAGCCTGTGTGAAATCTAAATTTACATTGTTTATTTTGCTAACTCACATTGTTTTTCTGTAAGTGAAAAATTCAAGTTATGTAAGTTTTCAGTAATGTCCACAGAAAAATGTTTTGGTAATCTTTAGTCAAAGTCTAACCATTTGCTTCAGTGTTTAGAGTTTTGGTTGACATCAACTCGATCGATTTTATACCAATATTCTTAGCCTAACTTAATTCTTAACTAAAATTAAATTGGAAGCACATCAACATACTGCAATAAAAGCATACCTGTCAACCCTCCCGTTTTTTCTGGGATTCTCCCGTATTTTACAATTCTATCCCGCTATCATCCCGTAAAGGTATTTTCCCGTATTTCTCCCACATTTCTCAGTCTTTCTCTGAACAGCCGAGCCTCCCTATACACAACCCATACCGCCAAACCACCAGAGGTCGCCTCTTGCTCTTAAATGTTAGTCTGTTCTGTGCTTTTGCTTTGTTTAGGAATGAAAACACTTTAAAATAAATATAAAAAATGGCGCGATTCCCTTTTTTTATTGCAGGTGCCGTCTCCCATCCTATACAATCCTCGAAACAGTCATATAATGGTGCATGACTGTCAGCTGACATGCTTCACAGTGATAAAAAGATGCTGTTTCCCAAACGGATTCTGTACACAGGATTTGTTGGGAGAGAGTCTTTTGGGTGTGAGTTTAAACAGACATACACACATAATTAATAATAATAACATATCAAGATGTCGATCTTGGTGTTTTTTTTTTCCAAACACAACTAATTTAAACTTAAATGAGCATAAAAAGTTAGGAAAGCAGTCGAATGCTTTCATTATAACGTTAGATGTGTGCATTTTTAAAGTGACACCTCTTATTTAATGTAATAAAAAATCTTAATAAATGAGAGATTCATTCGTTGCATGTGAATGTGTAAGTCATACAGTGGAGAAACGGCTAATGAGATTTGATTGCTTGATTCTATTTCATTATAATAGCTACTAATGTTTATAAGCTCAACTGTTTGCTAATGTATTTGCTGCTAATGTATAAATTTATTTTTCTTTTTTTATAATAACTTTAAAACATTTTACTGACCATTTAGCTGTTTATTTATGATGAAACAGCTCTAAATGAACATATTTAGTAATTTGGGGATTTTTTTTGGGGGGGGGGGGGATTGTCGGGGGAATCCCTTATTATGGTGTGCATATTCTTTATTTTCACATCCCAATGTTGACAGGTATGTAAAAGTCTCAGCATCTTCCAGTTCACACAGATTTTACATTTTAATTTAAAATACATGTTCTCTTAATTCCAAATAAAAAAGTTCACAAAATAATAAATGAATCATTAACTATAGACAGAATATAGAAAAACATTAGATCAAAAAATATTAATTTAACAAATATGTATGAAAATCAAATGTATGGTACAGTTTATACTTTGATAGCAAACATTGAAATAATCTTATTTTGTAAGTACAATCACCAAGCAGAGTTAGAGTACTCATAATGTTGTTTAGCCTATTGTCCAGCATTGATATTCCTTTATTTGATGCTCCTACTAAGCTGTAGTCTTTTATCTTTCTTCATTCATTCTCAGCTTTCCTTGTTTCACTGAGAACATTTACACAGTCGTAATCTGAAGGAACAGTAAAGAAGACCTCATCATCAAAGCATTGCTCATCTGAGGGTGAAGCCAAAAATGGTAGCTTGAGAACTACACCAGTCAGCATCCCCCCTACTGCAGACACGGCAATGGTCCCGAACAGTGCAGCCACCTGAAAGAGGGCCTGTTCCTTTGCACTTCTGCCCAAGCCTGCTTCCAGATCCGGGATCAATTGTTGTAACTCCATGAGCTGAGGGTCTCCTTCAGGAGGTGCTTGATGAGAGAAAGTCTCATAAAGACTGGGGCCGTATGTTTCCTCGGTCGCCAGCAGGATGGCACAGATTCCTGCAAGACTGGAAATGAGTCCGGTTAGTCCATGCAAGTTATGTATGCCACACTGATCCTGTATTCGCAGCTTTTGTGCCAGGACTGGGCTTAGGTATTTGTACCCCAGCATGCACGCGAAGCACCCCATGACTCCCAGAACGTAAGCAGCAGCCGGTGAAATCATCATGTCCACTGAGGCGCCGACAGTTACACCTCCAGCCAATGTTACATTCTGCACATCAGCCATGCTGATCTTACCATTCTTACTTAGCATGCTGGACAGGGCAAAAGCAGTAATTGTTGAGGCACTGAGACCTATAAATGTGTGCAGAACGGCTCGGTGCTGGTCGTCACCCTTGAAGGTCAGCGCTGAGTTGAAAGATGGCCAAAACACCCAGAGGAACAGGGTTCCCATTACAGATAACAGATCTGATTGGTAACTTGTGGACACCTTTGGGTGTCCTTCATTTAGGCTTGGTCTATACAGGACAAATGTGACACCCAGACCAAAGTAGCAGGCAAAAATGTGGATAAGAATCGAGCCACCAGCATCATTGATCCTCAGGTATTTCAGTACAGCCCATTCTGTGACACCAAACAGAGGGATCTCGAGCAAGGCCATGATCTATAAACAATACACAATATATAGTATATGTGGGTCTGGAAATTCTAGATTATTAAATAGGCAGATGGTTTAATTCAAATCATTTTACATCTTACAAATTAGGCATACATTAATTGACTCAGTTTAACGGTAACTTTACAAACCAAAGTACACATCATCTTCAGAAAACCTAGTGTTTCAACATTTTAAGTCTTGATAACATTAAAAAATGTTGGGTTCCACACAGTCGATTTAATTTAAGTGGAAGTTAATTTATTAGTTTTTTTTATTTTTATTTTTTTTACAAATTTAAGTAGATTGAACATAAAACAATTAATTTGTCCCCCAAAAAACTCAAGAATTATGTTCTTGAATTGTGAAAAGCACAAGAATAAGTAGTTTGAACAATAAGCAAATGTCATTTTTTGAGTGCAGGCTGTCTAGAGCAGGGGTTCTCAACTGGTTTGGCCATGGGACCCACATTTTTACATGGTCATCAAGCCGTGACCCAAATTTTTAGGGATTATAATACAATTTTAGGAATTATAGTTAATTTGTATTTAATTGTTAACTTACACAAGTAGTGACAGATAAATCATAAGAAAATCACCAAGACTTACAAATAAACAATATTATAAAATTATAGAAACATTACAAAGTAAAAATGACAAATACTGTAAACAGTGGTTAGGGTAAGGATAGGTTCAGTTACCATGAACTAAACTGAACTTTTAACAAAACATTTTGTCTGGTTTTTCAATGTTGTTTTAATTTAGAAGGTTTCGTGCTCTCTTGTGAAAGCACCTCACTACTTATGACACACTGAGGCTTTAAGTCTTTTTTGCCGTCAATATATGTAAATCCATACTTTACATATTCGGGGTCGTACTTGCGCTTTGACAAATTTGTTGCTATAATTAAATGAAATTTCACATGTCAAATGGTAGGGTTATCGTGCACGCATTTTAAAATAAAAGTCAAAATAAGTTTAAAATTAAACTTTTGTTGTTTTTTTGACCACACACTCCGCGACCCACTGAAAATGTTGAGAAACACTGGTCTAGAGAATTTACTTTTAATTTAAATTGAATGCCTGCATCACATGCATTTATTATGATCAATGAAATTCCAGAATTCTTCATGTCAAGAGTGTGTTTCTTGCATGTGTACTGACATATTGGTGTCATATTTTGGGATGTTACGCACATTAAGATGCAGTTCATGTGTTTTTACATCAGATATGTAAATTCATTGCATTTTTCTGTTGTTTTTATTACAATACATTTTTTTAAATAACATGAAAAAACCCTGTAAAACCAAACACTCAAAAATGACATTTGCTGTTTGTTTAAACTACTTATTTAACTCAGCTGAAACAACAAAATTGTGGAGTATAAGGGGGGACAAATTAATTGTTTTATGTTCAATTTACTTAAATTTGTAAACATTAATAAATTAAATGAATTCCTTCATGTTGTCCCAACACATAAATTGATTGTGTGGAACCCAGCATTTTTTTTTTTTTTTTACAGTGAGCAATACAATTCAGAAAACAAAAGTAATATATTACATTTTAGTCTATCATGAGTAGAGATGCACTAATAAGCCAATAATAAGCACAGACAATAAAAGCTATTTTCCACACTCAGACATGGGCCAATTGTTGCAGCCAATCATCAGGACCACTTTTATTCTGCCAATAAAAAGGGTCACGTTTCAAGACCATGTTTCCTAACACACCAAAGCACGAGTTAAATATGTGCAGTGATTAAAATGTAAAGCATTTAACTTTAAAGCACATCATTTCTTGAATAATTTATTGCTCTTCAATTTCTTAAAGAATATTTTATTATTTTAAAGAAGTACACATATTGATATGGCAAGTTTTTTAGTTGACCATAAATTTTTATTTCCAAGTATTCTTGTAAAATATGCTTATGTGTAAAATAATAATAATAATAATAATAATAATAATAATTCAGTATGGAAACAGGTTACTATCTTATTTAACTATATAGGGCACTATAAATTATGTTTGGGATGCTGCCTTAGAATTGATTTTGGCAGCTAAGCCAGTGTGATTTTTATACAAACGTTTTCAACATTACAGAGAGGATTTCATGACAGCCTTGCATTGTGTAAGACACAAAAATTGATGCTTGGCAGATTTTCATCTCACACAAAAACAGGTAAAGATGCCTCTTCTTACTTTTTATTCTATATATACAATATAATATACTAGAATATACTATAATACAGTATAATAAACATATTTTCATTTTATATCTGTTTGTGAAATTAAGTGCTGTTCCCATTTGACTATTGAAAATGATGCAAAACATCTTTTGTAGATGCAGTGTCCAATATCAAACCACCCACTGCAAAAGTAATAAACTTACCAAGAGTTGCACAGGGCTCGTCTTTCCCAACACGGCTCCAAATGAGATGAGCACAACAGCACAAGCAAACTCGGCATTAATCAGGTTCAGCACACTAAGATGAATCTTCCCATCATAGAAAAACTGAAAGAATCCTTGAATCAGAATTGCCCACTGAATGGTGAATGTAGCAACTAAAAAATTAAAAACCATTCCACCAAAGCCATAGCGTCGGAAAAAGGCCAGAAGGCAGCCAAATCCAATAAATATCATCACCTGAATGTCAGCAAAAAACGGATAGTTTTGATAAAATGAATTCTCCATGTGCCGTGTCTGGTTGTTTTGTAGAAGTGCATTAGCATGATCATCATAGGTCACAAAGCAAGCATAGAGGACCACAATCACAACCTCTGATGCAAAAATTAGAGCAGGGAGCCGTAATCGCAAATTTGTGGAATTCTTCTTCATTTTGACTGAAACTGAGCTCACAGCCTGCAGTCCTGCCTCAATTTCTCTCCCAGTGACACTTATTTATTTTATCTACTGTAACATGATAAGCAGAATGCTGGCCATTGGCTAAAACATGAAGTTACATCACTCACATGCTGCTTGGGCAGAGAGGAAGCCAGGTGCACTTTGTCCTAAGTAATAACCATCCCTGGGATTTTAATTACTCAGCGGTTTTTTAAACTTCAGCAAAGAACATGGTATTGACCCACTTTAAATGATCATATCACATAATAATCATAGATAGGGAGAAAAAGGCAGAAAGAAACACATTGACATGTTTATTGCAAAGATCAATGGCACAGTTATAATGAAGGCTCACTGCATGCTGAGTTCAGAGCATGGCAGGGCTGCACATTATTGTTTCCAATAACACAGTACAAAAAGTTCTGCTCATTTTCATTTAAACAGAGAAAAAGCTTGGAACGCTTCATGAAAGTGAATGGAAAAGCTTATCAGTTGTAAATGTTCATTTTAAATCTTGTTGAACTTTACAAAACACAATAGAAGCTTTCAACTTTATCACTGTAAGTTATCTTTTGGATGATATACGATATAGATAGGCAGATAGATGGATGGATGGATAGATAGATAAAGTTGAAACCCTAAGTTTACATACATTGTATAAAAAGGGCACACAACCATTAAAAAACTTTTTCTCATTTAGGTAAGTTAGAATTATAAAATGTGTTTCTGTTATGCTTAATAGCAGAATAATGAGAGAAATATTTTTTTTAAAAATTGTTATAACTTTTCTTGAAAGTAAAGTTTATATACTAAAAGATTATTATGCCTCTGAAAAAGCTCAGATGATGGTGTCAAGGTTTTGGAAGTTTCTGATTAGCTAATCGACAATATTTTTGTTAATTGGAGGCACATCTGTAGAATAGCATGTAAGAAAAACCTCAAACACACTGCTTCCTTGTGTGACAACATGGGAAAATCAACAAGCCAGAATCAACAAAAGCCAGATTACAATTTGCCAAATTACACTGGGAAAAAGAATCATTTTTGTTGACGTCCTGTGGTCTGATGGAACTAAGAGAGAACTGTTTGGCCGTAATGACCAGTGTAACATTTGGAGGACAAAGTGGAAAGCTTACAAGCCTAGGAACACCATCCCAACTGGTATGAGGGCAGCAGCATCATGTTGTGGGGCTGTTTTGCTGCAAGAGGGACTGTTCCACTTCACAGCATAGATGGCATCATGAAGAAAGAATATTGTGTAGAAACACAAAAGCAACATCTCAATACATCAGCCAGGAAATTTAAACTTGGACACAAATGGTTCTTCCAAACAGACCATGACACTAAGAACACTGCCTAATTAGTTAAAATGTGCTTTAAGGACAACAGAGTGAATGTTTTGGAGTGGCCATCACTAAGCCCTGATCTCAATCCTGTAGAAAATGTATGGGCAGAGTTGAAAAAGTTTGTGCAAGCAAGACAGCCAACAAATCTGACTCAGTTACACCTATTCTGTCAAGGAGGAATGGGCCTAAATTCCTTCAATCTATTGTGTGAAGCTAGTGGAAGGATACCCAAAACCAAAGTTATACAGTTTTAAATCAAAGCTAAAAAATACCAAGGAAATGTATATAAACTTTTGACTGTCTAGAAATTTTTTTCTCATTATTCTGGCATTGAGCAAATGTAAATGATTTAGGTAATCCTAACTGACCTATAATAGTAAACGTTTAGTATGATTTACCATCAGACATTTAAAAAAATGGTTATATTCCTTTTTTTAGTGTATGTAAACTTCTTGTTTCAATTGTAGATGTTTTATATTTAGATAGAACATGCATTAAATATACATTTTCTGTTGAAATTATTAACTCTGATTGGATGGAACATAGTTTAATTCAGTTTTGATCATAGCTTGAAATAAATTAGCTTCCTTCAAACATTAGTTTTAATCATAGTAACTATGTGACAGTTGAACTTGACAGAGTCTTCATTTCTTTTTGTAATCATGAGGTCACCAACATCTGCTGAACCAGGGAGCTGATGAGGATTAATCTTTCATATTCAATAACAGTATAATAACAGGATTTTTACACATGGATTGGCCACCACAGTCCAGACCATAACACTATTGAGAATCTTTGGGATGTGCTGGAGAAATCTTTTTTACCAACGAACTAACTCATCATCTAGTAGACCAGATGGTGTAACATTGAGTGAGTGGGGTATGAGTAGGAAGCGGCAGATTGGAGTGAGGTGGTTGTAATTAGAATTCGTATGATGATGATCAGGTGGATGGTGCTTCAGATGTAGTGACAGAGGAAAAAGGTTGTGGTGAATGTGTGACATTACCCCATCCTCCAGAGGTAGCTCCCGACACACTATTGCATCGCCAAGAGTAGCCATAACCACAAGGAGCAGGTTGATCTGGGTGGCTGTGGAGGAACTCATGCAACAGTGTGGGGTCGAGTACATCTTCTCGAGACACCCAGGATCATTCTTCTGCACCATACCCCTCCCAGTTGATGTATTCCAGGCGGTCCCCTCGAAGCCTAGATCTCAAAGACCATGTAGATGTGTGGTTGGTTGAGGACTTTCAGAGGAACAGCTTCAGTCTGTAACAGAAGGAGAGAAGGGTTTTAATAGGTAAACATGGAAGGTGGAATAAATGTGGTACCTGGGTGCAAGTTAAAGCTGGAAGGTCACTTCATTAATCTGCCTCAGGATCTTGAAGGGACCAATATAGTGGGGACTCACTGGGCAGTCATAGGTGTATGTTGCGGGTGGAGAGCCATACTTTTTCCATAGGTTGGTAGAAGGGCATCATCCTTTGTCTAGTGTCAGCAGACAGGACTGCCCACTCTCCCACACTTTTGGAGCAGTGGGTAAACCTTTCAGTCGGACAAACTTGATGCATACTTGGGCCACCGATAAAAAGGTTGGGGAAGCGAGAGGGCCCATCTGCTGCCTGGATATCCTTGTCGGTTTCCCACAGTATGGGGCTTACTAAGGTTGGATTGGATAAGGAATGGATTCAGGTTCGACTGAGGTGTCATTAATAAACTATCATGGTAGAGCATCTGCGATGATATTCTTCATTGGTGATCCTAAAGTTGAAGCGTGTTTGGAAGAGGGCCCATTGAGCTTGATGATTTGCCTCACAGGTGTATAGAAGGTTCTTGTAGTCTAATGATTGTGAAAGGATGAACTTCCCCTTCCAGCCATTGTCTCTACTCCCCCAAGGCCAATTTGATGGCTAACAACTCCCTGTTGCCCATGTCATAGTTTTGCTCCATCGGGGATAGCTTTTGAGAAAAATAGGCACAGGGAGAGCACTGCCTCTTATTGAGAGCACTGCCCCTGTTAAGATGGCAAATCTTGACTACAAAGACTACAAAGGGACATTCTGGATCAGGATGGTGAAGTACAGGGTTGGTGCTGAAGATGGAAATAAACTTACCAAGAGTTGCACAGGGCTCGTCTTTCCCAACACGGCTCCAAATGAGATGGAAAGCTTAGTGGGCTGAGGGGATTCCAGGATAGATATTTTGGTCGACCCCTTAGGTCAACTGTTTAAATTATTGTCCTAACTGATATAGTTAATCTAATTAACCAAATTAAGCATTTAAATTGCACTTTAAGCTGAATACTAGCATCTTACAAAATAACTAGAAAATATTATTTACTGTTGTCATGGCAAAGAGAAAATAAGTGAGGTATTAGAAATTAGTACAACTATTATGTTAAGAAATGTGTTGAAAATATCTCTCCATTCAACAACAATTGGGAAGAATTTGCGTATCGTTTACACAATATAAGTTTTAATTATTTTTTGTTGTTTATGATTAATTTAACATAATTGCATTTTATAAACATATCAAACAACCCTTATAAAATAATAATAGAAAAAATATATAAATACAACTAATAATGATAAAAAAATAAGTAAACAAAAATAATAATAAAATAAAACAAAATTACACAAATAAAGCGAGTACAATTCATTACAATTCGAGTAATGAAAGATTACAAACTGATGTATCATTATTGTCAAGGGTGATCAGTCTAGATCCAGCTGGAGAGTTTTAACATAAGAAGAAAGGGCATTCCAAATTTTGACAAATGTTCTGTTAGGTCTTTGAAGGGAGTATCTAATCTTTTCTAGCTTTACAAAATACAAAATATCTTTCAGCCAATTTACATGCGAGGGTGGATGAGGGCTCTTCCAGTTCAATAAAATGACTAGCCTAGCAAGCAAAGTAAGAAAGGCCACAAAGTTTAAAAGGTAAGCGGGTAACGCATAATTATCAGGCATCACACCAAACAGGTCAATAATGGGTGATGGCGGTATATCTATAGAAGTAATGGCTGAAAGAGACTGAAATACTGAGCCCCAAAATGAGGAAAAAGAATATAGGTTTTAATTCTGACAGTAGCTGTATATTCGGATGTCAATGGGGCTTTCTTTGTGTATTTAGGATGCAGGTGCACTGTTGAGATTTGCCCTGAGGAAGAGCTATTGCTCGAGCACTGTTTTACAGTTGCATTTTTTGTGTAACTCTGATGGATGATGCATCAAAAAAGTTTGCGAGGGGGTTTGTACCCTGCATTATGATGTGCAACTTTTTATTCCTGCTGTTTTAAAAAACTAAATAAAAAATAACCTAAAATAAAATAAAAAATTAATCTTTTTAAATGTGATAATATACAGGATTCCAAAGTTTTAATATGATACAGCACAAAGTTGCATAAATAGTTTCAAAACCCACCTGATGTGAATCCTTTGCTTTTCATTTTCTACAAGTAGAGTTAACACACCCTGCTGTATTTTCTAGTCCATCAAATGAAGGTACACTGCCATCTTGTGCCAATGAAAGTGACTTGAGCTCACTTTGTAATTATGACTTGTAGTTCTGACAAGAGGAACTTGGACAAAGCAAAATGCATTAAAGACATGTCTGAATTCACCTTTGCAAATTTATTGACAGGAAAAAATGTTAGGCGCC